CTCACCAGGCTCTATCAGACCAGCAAACCTGGTCTTTTTTTATGATTCTGAATTTTGTTCCACATTGTTCTCCCACTCTATCCAGGATCTCCTGCACAGATCCCCCTCCGAGGGGTTGACAGTGGTAGCTGGGCACCACCTAGTCTTCTGGTCTCATGATCATACAGGCTGGGGATCACATAGTCTACCAGGCCCTTGGACTAATTGTTTCCATGCATCTTTGATTTTCTTCATTCCTCTTTGCTCTGGACGAGGAGAGACCCATCATTGCATCTAGATGGCCGCTTGCAAGCTTTAAGACCCCAGTTGCTACTCAAAGTATGATGTAGAAAAATGTTTTTGTGTAGTATGCTATGCCAATTGACCTTGGTGTCCCCTGTGACCATGGTCCTGAGCCCACAGGTCCAACTACACGTTCCCTCAGGGTAGCTGGCTGTGGCCAAGACGTCACCAAAACCTTATCCCTTGTCAGCTCTACTATACCCCTGAACATTCTTACACATGCTGTGGTGTTATTGCTGTGATGATTTGTAAACCCGTTGCCATTGAGCTGACTCGGACTCATAGTGACCCTATAGGACAGAGCAGAACTTTACGGGAAGTTGCAAATCTTTATGGAAGCAGACTGCCTCATCTTTCTCCCACAGAGTGGCTTGGTGTGTTCAAACCTCCAACCTTTCCGTTAGCAGCTGAGTGCTTAACCACTGCACCACCAGGGTTCCTTGTGATGATTTAAAGACCCCTTAATTTCCTAGCATTAATATCATCACTTTCCACTACTTTTTTTTTTTCTTTTTGTACAGTCCCTGCTGCATAGACATACCTAATAGTTCAACCTGTCCACTTCTTTCCACTACTTTTAACAGAAGTGAAATCAACACCAGAGTTTATGATTTGCCTTGACATATTTTAATTATCCTCTGAGTAGAGGCAATGCCTTCTCTATGTTTGGTGAGACCACAGCTCAGGCTCAACCTCATTAATATCTATAAATAGTTATTAATCCCAGAGAAACAAAAACAAAGCACGTGATCTTGTCATGAATAGATTTTTATTGAAGTCATATATAGTTTTCTCAGGACCACAGAAATTTTCAATGTGGGGCAAACAATGATTAGACGCCTCTCTAAAGAAACATGGTGAGCTTTCAGAAATGTGTTGTGCAGGAATGTAGTTAATGAGAAAAAGGGGAGAGAGGAAGTCGAGGAGTCTAGCAAGTACATCAAATGATTACTTTTTTTAAAAAAACTCCTCTAGGCTCTGATAACTCTTTTCTCAAGTAAGTTCCCAACACAATTCATCAGAAATGGAAGTGGTTGCGCTATCAAATACACAAGGAATACAATTTGTTTATTTTATAAAGAAACCATGAGAAATGTGGGTTGAGATGGGCTCAGATTTATGCTCAGCTCATCACAGGGAGCTGTGCCTGTGGTGACAGCTCAGGAATCAGCAGCCTGCTGGGGATGAGCTGTACCAACCGGCACGGGACCCAGGGGTGTCTTCTCCAGCTCCTCTGGTCCGTGGGGAAAGCCTGCAGCAGGGGCGAGGGGAAGCTCTGCCGTTTCTCCACCTCTCCATCACCATTTCACCTCCTGCTTGTTGACCTCGGCGTAACTTGAGAGCTCTCCTTGCTTCGGCTGTGCAGTCCAGAAGCCAAAACTTCCTCTAGGAAACTGACAAGTAAATCTGAGGTTACTAAAAAGAAAAAAAAAAAAAAAAAAAAGTACCTCCAAAGATAGAGTATCTTGCTAATGCCATCTTACTAGATGAAAAGATATCGTGAACAGTATGCAAAGAGTACTGGCCTGGTATTTGGTTAGAACAGAAGCATCAGTTGAGCATTTTAACATTCAGATTAGAAGAAGAGCCCTTTGTGTTCTTCTCCAGAGTCTTCCCTGTATTTTTTTAGGATTTAACTCATGAGCTTTGTTAAGACTGATATTGCAAGTTTGACGTTTCTAGTTAGGAACCCAGAAGTTTAAATTTGTTCGTTGTACTGTGATGGCTTGTATGTTACTATGATACTAGAAGTTATACCTGTGGTGGTGAAGTTTGTGTGTCAATTTGGCTGGGCCTCGTTGAGTGGCTGGGCAGCTGGTGTAGTTATTCCCCATGATGAGACTGGTAATCAACTCCATTGGTGGGACCTACCACAAGCAGCTGAGTAGCTGCTTTAGGGATGCTGTTTGCTTCCCATATATAAATAGCAGCTTTGGGAATGGTCTCTAGTTTATGGCACACTTGGACCCTGCATGTAGCCCTGTCGTTGTTCAGCAGCCTGCCATGCTCTGCTGACCTTGGGACTTACAATGGACTTGAATTAATGGCCTGCCCCATGGTTTGGTAACATCGGGACTGTGCCATTGTATTTGTCAGCTTTGGGCTTGTCAGTCTCAGGAGCCAGTAGCTGCCTGAGTGAAGAGATGCTTCTAGCTTCAGTGGGCCGTGAGCAAGAGGCAGAGCTGAAGCCCAAGGTCGAGGGGCTTTCACCCAGCCCCTAGAGCCTGGCACTTCTAACTTGGACTTACAGCCTCTTAAATTGTAAGAATAAACTCCTGTTTGTTCAAGCCATCCCATTTGTGGAATATATTCTTGTCAGAGCAGCACTTGGTAACCAGAACAATACCGTTGGTATTTCAAACATCAGCAGGATCACCAATGGTGGATAGTTTCAGCAGAGCTTCAAGATGGTGCTGGAAGATGAGCTCCCTAGGTTAGAAGGCACTCAAAATACACAGTGGCTTCAACAGTGGACTCAAGAATACGAATGATCATGAGGGTGGTGCAGGAGAGGCAATGTTTTGCTCTATGGCCCATGGGGTCACCGTGAGTCAGAACCAACTCAAAGGCAACTAACAACATGCCACCTCTTATTTGTTACCAAAACTGTCTTAGAACTTGTATTTCTCTTAGTTTCTTCCTTATTCAATCTATTCATCAAAGTGGCACCAGAGTTACTTTTTCTAAGATTATTCCTGTCACATACCTTCCCTCCCTCTTCTGCCTTAAAACCCTCCTTTTGCTTACAAAACAACATACAGATTAAAACTCAAGGCCCTTCATAATATATGACTTGAAGTATTTACTGATGAAGATTAAAGACTATAGTCTGCATTATGGATTACACCTCAACATAAAGAAAATGAAAATTCTCACAACTGGATTAATAAGCAGCATCACAATAAATGGAGAAAAGACCGAAGTTGTCAAAGATTTCAATTACTTGGTTCCACAATCAACACATACAGGAGCAGCAGTAAAGACATCAGACTACATATTGCACTGGACAAATCTGCGGCAAAAAACCTTTTTAAAGTGCTGATGAGCAAAAATATCTCTTTGAAGACTAAGGTGTGCCTAACACAAGCCACAGTATTTTCAATTGCTTCATATGCATGTGAAAACTGGACAATGAATAAGGAAGATCAAAGAAGAGTTGATGCTTTTGAGTTGTGGTGTTAGCAAAGAATCCTGAAAAGTACCATGGACTGCCAGAAGAACTAACAGATCTGTCCTGGCAGAATTGTAGCCGGAATGCTCCTTGGAAGCGAGAATGGTCAGACTTCGTCTCACTTACTTTGGTCATGTTGTCAATAGGGACCATTCCCTGGAGAAGGATATCATGCTTGGTAAAGTTAAGGGTCAATGAAAAAGGGGAAGGCCCTCAATGAGATGGACTGACACAGTGGCTGCCAATGATGAGCTCAGGTATAGCAAGAATTGTGAGGCTGGCACAGGACCAGGCAGTGTTTTGTTATGTTGTACATAGGGTTGCAGAGCCAACTTGATGGCACCTAACAACAACAACAACATATTGCATTTACTTTGTTCTGAGAGGTGTTTTAAGGCATATACATATGTGTATATACATGTATGAAGCCCTATGAAATAGACTCTGCTATTGCACCATTTTTCAAACGAAGAAACTAGGTTATAGAGAGGTTAAGTGACTTGCCAAAGTTACAACAGCTGGGATTCAAACCTAGGGTCTAGAGTCTGTACCCTTAAGTACTCTGCAACACTGCCTCCCTCATCTGGTTCCTTCTCCCACCGGGCAGCCTGTGTACCATCCATGTATGGCTGCTCACTGTTCCTTAACATGTCATGAGCTTTCATACACACATGCTTTTGCTCTTACCATGTTCTATGTCTGAAATGATATGCTACCCCATCTCTGCCTGATGAAATCCTTTTCATGCTTTAAGTCCAAATGTCAACTTTTCTATGAAGCCTTCCCAAACCTTTCCATGTTGGGAAATAGTTTCCTTTACTATTATTCATCTCGTCCACAGTGCTATTTTAGTGGTATATTATTAATAGTTAGGGCCCGCTGGAGAGAACAATCATGGGAGAAGGAAGGGCTGCTTATGCACAGGGAGACAGCTCAGGGCGCAGAAGAGTATGGAGGGATGGACACTGGGAAGAGGTACCTATGGGGAGGAAGTGGGAGGGGAG